CTCCAACTATAAGCCCCCCGACTATAAGCTCCCCCCCCCCGAATATAAGCCCCCCGGAAGATAAGCCCACCACATATACTAACGCTCAATTCATTCCAAATATAAGCCCTCCCGAACATAAGCCCACCCAAATATAAGCCCCCCAAATATAAGTCCCCCGAATATAAGCCCAGTAGCCCACTACGTTATTCAACATTTTCATTGTCTTTTAATATAGCAGAGAACAATATTTAATTAAAAGCATTGTCATTGTCTTTATAGCCGACTATATGTTATGTTAATCAAAGCATGTTATTAATGGATGTTTATTTTCCTGTTTATGACTGACTTGTTTATGTCTGATTTGTTTATTACTAACACAAAAGATCATCCATGTATTAGCCCCCTGTATATAACCCCCCCCCCTCCCCTTGTATAAGCCCATCAAAAATCGCTTACGAAAGTTATAAGCCCAGGGCTTATAGTCGGAGGTTTGCGGTATAAGATCCCCTTGGCAAATTATAGATAAACATTGTCTGGCGTTAGCCAGAATAAAACAATAAAATAAGGTATATTTGGGAACATTGCAGCTTAATGGTTAAAAATCAAATATAAAATTCGAGTTGGCAAAAATATTCATGAAACACCAGCTCAGGTCCAGCTGTGTAGTGTATACTGTATCTCATCTCACAGACAGTATTAATAAAATAAATTCCATCGTTAGGTAATCAATATAAAACATTACCGTTTCGGTTAGCCATTGAAATTTAATGAATAAAATATTGTTGGTCTGTGTTGTTGTGCGTAATTTGAATAGAATGCACAAAATCTTGCATTCCTATATGAATATGATATAGTTGAGGTTGGGTATTTAACAGCCATTTCCCGATTTTCCACCTCAGGTTCTAAAATACTTGTCTTTATAATTGAAATGAAAACACTAAACGCAAGATAAATCAGACAAAACTACAGTACTTGTAAATCAAAACGCGCGCAAGTTTTCTTAACTGAGACTGCAATGGCAATGAGAATAGCCTCAGCATAATGGCGGTCGTGATGTATAAATACGACAATCGCAGACAACAATAATTATATTCTCGCATTATTATAATAACTCACCTTATTCCTTTCGACGTTTATCACATCTTTGAAGTTACAGGCGAACTAATTCTAAAGCATTGACGCTGTGAACCACACGTTTTGAATTGCATTTGCGGCCAGACCTTTGTCATTCAAATACAAACAGCAACCTTGCTCGCTTCTTCCTCACACTGTTTTAAAGCCATCTTTATGCTTGAAATATGAATATACTAAAGCCATTTTAATCAGTTTGTATCGCTTCCATCGCACTGACACTTAGAAGCAATCATTATAGAACTCTCGCACCACAATAGCAGATATATTCCCATACAAACGACCACAAACTATAATGCCAGACTGCCAGTATCGATGCGACAAGAAGGTATTAGATTTCACGGCGGCGCTATCCTCATTGGCATATTGCATTTTTTATCCGTACACCCCCTGTTGAGGACCTTGGAAATCCAGGGGATGCTTTTATATTTAACCTGGAATTCCAGTGGGTGGGGGTCAAAACAACCTGGAATTCCAGTGGGTGGGGGTCAAAATAACCCTGGAATTCCAGTGGTTGGGGGTCAAAACAACCTGGAATTCCAGTGGGTGGGGGTCAAAACAACCTGGAATTCCAGTGGGTGGGGGTCAAAACAACCTGGAATTCCAGTGGGTGGGGATCAAAACAACCTGGAATTCCAGTGGGTGGGGGTCAAAACAACCTGGAATTCCAGTGGGTGGGGGTCAAAATAACCCTGGAATTCCAGTGGGTGGGGGTCAAAATAATAAGATTTACATGGAAATTCCGGGGGAAGGGGATAAAATAATGATACCGGAACTGGAAATTCCAGGGGATGGCTATTATATTTAACCCTGGAAATTCCAGTTGGTGTTGTCAAAATAACATATTCACGTGGAAATTCGGGGGGGGGGAGAAATAAAATAATGATTCCGGAACTGGAAATTCCAGGGGATGCTTCTTTAATATTTTGCTTCTTATATTAGCTCATATTTTGGACTAATTAATAACACAAATAAAATGTGGAGTCGTTGCACAGCCTAAACTCTTGGAGGATGGTTGAATGCGATTGAATCATGACCTTCATATATGAAATCAACACATTAAGCCGGAAAGGCACACGTTTTTCTAATGTTTATATTAATATCAACACAGTTCTTCATTACATATTTCACACTGAAATAGATTTGCTTTTTTAACAACCTCTGTAGCTGTTGATCAGCTTCATATATTGTTTATTTGGGTCAAATTAAGGTCTATAAATATGGTCCTATTTAAAGACCATGTAAAGTCCGTTGTGCGCAAGGCTACATTCCAATGATCGGGTCCCGACCATTGGAATGTCATTAATATTTCGCATTTTTCGAACTTTCCTGAATTGAATCTCTAGTCTGTATTCATTTACAAGCATAGTAAACCAGAAGAGTGTTAAAAATTCAGTATAATATCAGTATAACTGTATAAGATCGGTAACCGATCGCGAAAGTTGAGTGAATCATGACTCACGATATACCCCATTAACACCCTCTAAGATATATCTAATCATATTTTACAACTGTAGCACTGAGTTCAAAATGTAAACAAAGCATTTGTTTACATTACGGACTTTCCATGGCCTTTAAGAAAATACAGTAAGAGAATATGTTATGCAAACTTTAATTTTCCTAACGCCAAATACTCTGAAACACAAAGAGTGTATACACATTTAGGTTCAGAAAAGTAAACAACTCTAACAGTATCATCTTCAACATGTCCATCCTGTACTTGGGCAGAGTACCAGCCTTGTGTCCAACCACTGTTTCCTAACTCTTCTTTGCTCCACTTTATTTTGAGCTTCTTTCCAATACAAAAGTACTCCTCATAGTCGTCCGAATTACTGCTTGAACATTTATGGTTAACACTTTTATTTTTTAAATTCAATTCCTCCCCTTTCTTGAAACGTAGACTCTTCAAAGTTTTGATATAGTCCTTAAGTTCCTTAAACGCGTTTTGTAGAGCCTGAAAAGTGATGTTTTGAGGAACATTTAGGTAGTTACTGCACTTTGTTTTTGTGTATGTTCTTTTTCTTGTCACATACTGGGGATGAAGTATCATTTGCCTTTTCTGTTGAAGTATAATCCTCTCTGCCAACGATATTGTTCTCATTAGTTCTCCTTCCTCTCCGTTGAAACATAGGTAATACCTATTCTGACTGACAAGTAGTAACCGTAGAATCATTTCATCTTTGGTGCCGCATGTTTGAATCCCGTGGTAGTTAAGAATATAACGCAACCGTGCTACCGGGTACTTTCGCAATTCGCTTACTGTGTTTGCAACTTTGCTTAAATCTCCATCGTAGTTAGGAGAGTAATCTTCAGGGATATCACCTTCCGTTTTTTGTACAAGACGTTCAACCAGCTGCCACTTCTTGCCTTTGGTAGATATACTTTCCTTTTTGCAAAGTGTCACCAACTCCTCTACCTTTTTTGCATATAAAGAGTGCTGTCTCCACTTCTCTCTCGCAATGTCCTCTTGTAGTGCATGTTGCATTGAGGTTTGCTTTTCATTAAAGTAGTCGCGTGTTGTTGATTCTGGCAGCCATACCAAAAAGGAAAAGTGCTTGTACATATCGTCAAGTGGATGCGAGTTGATCGTGAAAAGTAAATTAAGTAGTCGGTCAGGTCTGAACAGTCCTGGTGTTTTTGTCAAATCCATATCATTTTCTAACTCCAGCCGCTCAAAAGGCAGGTAGTGTAATTCTCCTTTTGTTTCTACCCAGCGTATATAGTCTGGAATTGCCTGAAATTCGTATCTTTTTAATTCTTTTTCTTCCCATTGGTTATCAACTCTATAAATTGCTGTGATGTATTTATCTCTCCACGCTGTCCTATAATCAATTCCTGGTACTGAATTGTTCAAACTTTGATAGTCTTCAAAATAGTTTCCTTCGAAATTCTCATTGACGTTCCATATAACTGACAGATCTTTCAACATAGACGAAACTTCATTAACCTTATATGTCAACTCGCATGTTTCTTTCATTTCTTCCGAATAGGAAAGAAATGTCTTTAAATGTAATTCATCATTGAAGATGTGCAAGGAATTCATAACTCCCCGAAATACGCTTAACGGGTGATCATCAAAGCGTCCTTGTTGCAAACAATTTATAACCGTTTGACTCATATTTTCCATATTTTCTATATGTTTCTGCGAACCGGGAACAATATTGACATCGCTATGAATGCCATTAGATGAAAATGGTCCGTGGCGAGCAAGCAACTTGTCTTCCACAGCGTGAATCCGTTCCACAAAGTTTCGCTTACTGTGGTATTCAGCAAAGGAAACTTGGATGACTTTATCAAGGTTTAAGAATTTTAACATTCTTACCATTAACATTTGAACCAAGTGACTTGACGGATCCTCAGCTGGGCCATTGTCTACCACAAATATAAATTCTCCTTTTAGTTTTCCAGTGTTTGAATTTCGAAAGAATTTATCCAGCGATGGCTTTGTTAATAATAGAAATATTTCATGAAAAAGCCTGAATGTCGTTTCAGGTTCTAATAACGACGGATTGATAAGTGTTACAGATGTCCCTGTCCTAGTTATATGTAGGACTGTATCTGAAATCGGTGACAATATGTCTACTTCGTTTACAGTCGGATTATTTCTGATCGAAGATGCTTGATGAGTGATGTCTGTTCGTAGAAATAAGTGGGTCATTGGTGTAACGGCGTTTGTGCGACTCTGATCCCAGTCGTGGTCAAGATACTCAACATCCTTCCACAACTTACTTGGCTTTTGAACCGGAGTGATATCAGCACATACGATTTTTTTGGCGTCTTTTGAATCAACTAACACGTTTTCAGGATACTTGGCAGCATAGTCACACAAATAATTAACGTTAGCCGAGGTGTAGTGAAGATTCACCACCAACTTGTCGACCTTTGTGTGTGGAGGGCGATGAAGGGACAGTTTTGCATTTTTTTTATAAGTCATTGTATAATTATAACAAGACGACAACGAAATGTTAAAAGATGGAGGAGATATGTTGTTGATTATTTCACAGGCTTGCCGCATGAAAGTGTTGTTGTCTTTACTTCGAAAACGAATCTCGGTTTTAAGTCTAGGGTGTGATTCTAATCCCTCCCCTGCACGCTCAGTCACGTCCTGATTGTCAAAAATATAATCAAGACACTTCGAAAGATCTGGCCATTGTTCATATTTCAACATTCTTCCTCTTGAATCGTACTTGCAATTTAATTCTTTCCTTTTCTGAATTACTCTTCTGGTAAGCTGTCGTTGCTGTTCATTTGTCATGTTGTTACTAACCATTAACGAAGTTTGCTCAATATTGCGGAATTTTTCTATGTTTTCGCCTAGTTCGTCTCTACAGTTTGCAATCGCTGTTCTGCTCTTGACTCCCTGGAGTTTTGCAGTAAATTTCACACTTGTTGAAGTTGCAAAAATGCCTTTGAGAATATCACGGTCTCGCTTTGTATCCAGTAAATGCAACGAATCTTGAAAAATGTCTTCCAACCTTTCATATAGGTGTTTGTTGACGATAACGTTATTTGCCGGCATCATATCCTTTAAACACTTGACAAGGCGCTCTTGTTTTACGCAATTCTCGACGATATAGGCTTTCCCTTGGATGTAGATCTGTTGAACGTTAAGATGGCGTGAAAATCGGGAAAAAAGACTACTAGAGGTGCTTTTTTTTGACTTGGTTTGCAAATTCTTGAGAATTTTATTTTTTGCTTCTTCGTGAACTTTTCCAGCGCGCTGTGTTGAAACAATGAGTCCAAACTCTGTAATGAACTTTCCCACTTCTTTTATTGCATGCAATTCCGCGTGTCTTTCCAGATTCGTTTCTTTCTCTATTTGCTGTTGTAGAAACTTGACATTGTCTTGAATTGTAGAATTGTTTTCTACATCTCTTTTGAGACCGATTACTTGATTTTTCTCATTCAGCGTTTTATTGAAAGTTTGCGAGTGCATTGTCCGTGATCTATTTTTGCAAGCCAAACGTCCCCTTCTGATAAACCATTTCTTGTTTAATAAAGGCAAACTTGGTTCAAATTGACTTACAAATTCTTTCGTTTTTCGATTCTTCTCCAAAATCTCGTTATTACTTACTGTATCATTTGCAGTAGTTTTGCAGCCAAAAGAATCAATCTTTGAACCGTATTGCTCGGATTTCGTTGGACATGCAGACACGCAACCGTTGACAACAGAGGGAGTATTTTGTTTTTCATTCGAGCATGCCAACGTCTCCCTTTTCACAAACCATTTCTCGGTCAATAAAGGATAACTAAATATAAACATCTTCATGCTTTTGTCCTCAGGCTCACTTGTACTACCATGTGCTGTGTTTTCGAAATTAGATGACATGTTAGTGTCTGAGTAACTTTCTATCATAAGCGTCACAACTTATCCCAAGGGCTCTATCGGTTTGTTTTGAATGGACATCAAAGAAACCTCCACACCCTTCGCGCCTAGCGGTGGTGTCAAACTCATTAGCACAAACTTTTCGATAAAATCTTTCTGACAAAAGGGGCATGGTCGTATTTACATTTGGCGGGAAATTTGAATTTGGCGGGAAATTTTCACTCTCCGCAGGTATGCTGTTAATTTTCCTTTTAAACCAGTTTTGGCTGAGATTTGGCATTTGTTGCTGAAATTTCTCTTCAAACTCATTAGCACAAACTTTTCGATAAAATCTTTCTGACAAAAGAGGCATGGTCGTATTTAAATTTGGTGGGAAATTTGAATTTGGCGGGAAATTTGAATTCGGCGGGAAATTTTCACTATCCGCAGGAATCCTGTTAATTTTCCTTTCAAACCAGTTTTGGCTGAGAATTGGAATTTGTTGCTGACATTTCTTTTTGGCGGCTTTAGCGTTATTCTGATCTTCCACAGGCTGCTTGCGTTTTTTTGGCCTTGGTAAAGTATTGGGCCGCTGACGCTTTTCTTTATTTGGTCGTCTGTTCGAGTAAATGGGAGTAGACTCACCTTTATAAATCGTGCCGTTGTTCAGTGTACCACGACTTCTTTTATTATTTACCAAGGACCAGTCCGTTGATTCTGCGTTGTTATCAGAAGTATTTGTTGAAATCTTAAGAATTGGGACAAAATGGTTTATATTCAAAATTTTTGAACGATCAGGCCAACCTGACAAATTTGTCCACATTATTGCTATGACTGGACATACTTCATATTCAGAGGATTCTCTTGGCAAGTATATACCATTTAAGAGGCTCAACATTTCATGTCTTGTGTCTGGGTATATCATATGAATTTCAGATTTTATGACAGATGCAAGACCCATTACTTGAAGTAAACCAGAGAAGGATCCATGGAATGCTGTTGTTTTAATCTCTTGCTGTATGGCAGCATTGAAGTCGATTGTTTCGTAAACTTTCGCTGCTCCTGCTCCAAATATTACTGCATAATATAAGGAAGAAACGGCCCATAATTCATTATTTCTTCTTTTAATACAGCTCTTGGCTACATTTGGATGATTTTTGTAAAATTGTAAATTCGTTGCAAGTTCAATGACGGTGCGCACACAAAGTTCGGCACTTAGCTTGTCGGAACCTGACAACGCTAAACTTGCAGCATTGAACAGACAATTGCCATCCGCTTTGGTTTGAATTGGTTTCATGTCCTGTTGTTTGTAGTAATCGGGAAGCAAACCATCCGATACTCTGTCTGCTCGAAATGAAGGGAATGTCCAAGTGACAATTCTATTCACTTCCAAGGGCGGATAAACATTCTTTAGTTGGCTGGCCATATTACTAAGATCTGTAAACGTTTTCGTCTTTGACAGACTGTACAAATCAACTAAAGCTCTTGAGCCAGCCGAGGACATCGCCATTATTTTAAATTAGCCTGAGAAAAACAAAAAATGTACTCTCAGCAATGACTCTAAATCATTTCAAATGATGAACTTTATTAATATATTAAAATTAAGAACACCAGTAATTAATAACACGAATAATTAAGATGACAGACATAAGCATATATACCTTGATAGCAGAGCCTGAGGAAATTAAAATAAGGCTCGATCTGCCAGGGATTTTTTTTTGTTTTATTTGTACAAAACTGTGGACGAAGTTGTGTAACCTGTTTTTAATGCACGCGCTTTCGTTTTGCATGTAAACTAATGACTAAAATTTGAGCCCACTATATCCAAAATTGGGAGTAAACTCCTATTTTACAATCGACGCTTGGCTGACAAGCCCGTGAATAAAATAATAAATAAATATAATGCATGACAAAATCACAATTGCATATGAATTGCTTAAATTCATTGAAAAGTAAACCTACGAATTGTAAAAATTTAAGTATTAAAATAAACTAGAAAGTTAGCAATTAATTTCAAACACTATATCTATTGCTGTAATATATTTGAAAATATTTTTGTATTGTTTATACCGTTGTAATTGCACAGCAAGTGCAGTGCACGTGCCCGCATACAGCTATATATGGCATGCAAGCATTCTAAAAATACAATTTTGACATGTTTTGACAGATTTGAAACAAGTCAACGCTCAACAGACATGAAAAACAAACCATGCAGTGTATAACCAGATTTGGTAAAATTTCGTCAGTTTTGGAAAACTGTTACCCTACAGCACTTATAATTTGTTAGTAATATTTTGGCAAAATTTTTAGAAAGTGAAATATTTCAGCAATTGTTTTGGTAAAAAGACGTGTTGGAATGTTATCTTGTGTTTTAGAGTTGATTTCATATAACGTTTCCCTGAATGTTGCGAACTTCGTTCCGAACTTTGTTGTGAAGTTCAAAAGTTCATACTGAAATTCACAGTACAAGCCGGTTTGTAAACAAGGCCTCTGATTGGCTTATTTTTGTTCAGGGACCCATCAGAGGCTTTGTTTACAAACCGGCTTGTGAATTTCAGTATGAATTTTTGAAATTCACAAAGAAGTTTTGAACGAAGTTCTGAACGAAGTTCGCAACATTCAGGGAAAAGTTATGAAATCAACGATTATGAAACTCTCTAGCTTGCAAAACCCGCTAATTTCAAACGTTATATAGGAAATTAGTGGGTTTTCAGACTAACCTGGTTGCCGACTTGCCGTGTCGAAGCCATGATAACACTGTTAATATTTTTGACGAAAACATTTACCTACTTAATTCAGAGCGCGAAATAACGGCTGGAGGGTCGCAGGTCAAGGTGACGGGCCAACTCAATTTTAGCTCGGACATCCCGAATTTCTGGTCGGTAAAATTATTCAGCTTAAAGCAAAGCCTAGTGAAGTATAAATGTGAATATTTTCCCAGCAATATAAAAAGCCTTCTCCTTCACATAAAACAGCTTGCACTGCGCTAAAGGCATGGCCTTAACTCTTAAGCCAAAAGCATAGCCATGGGATGGACTTGTGACGTACTGCCTTCCTAGTGCGTAGGAAAGCTGGCCGTACATTGAACCGTTGACCAGCCGTTATTTCGCGCCCTGAATTTAATCAGGGCTGGAACTATTGGGAGGGTCTGGGGTGTAACCCCCGCCCATAGAAGAGTCAAGAAAGGGGGCTCAACTTCCCCACAGGGGGCGCGGAATGCTGGAATTGCAGAACGTGTTAGGAATATTCTGAGGAACTTTGACGTTTCGAGGGAAGGTCTTCGTTTGGCTGCTAACTTCCAGACGAGGGGCTTTCAATTTGATATAAGTTTTTCATCCCGCCTGTCAAAATTCGTACGTTTCCAGTCATGATTATGTTACTTTTCTTGACTTGCAAGGTAATGAAATTTAATGCATATTATATTTTACTTAATACTAATAATAACATGCCGAGGACTAAACTAGTTACTATCACTTTGACTATCAATGGCGTAATCATCGACTACAGATTGCCGTATGTCTTCAAGCTCATCATCGCTTAATATTGCCGGACTTTCTTTTGCCAGGGTTGCGCTACCAGCTACTTCAGCGGAATATTCAATTGTTTTACTAGAATTGGAAATACTCTGTTGTAGGCTAGACTGACATGATTTAAGCTCGGTAAAAACTTTATCTTAGATATGTTCCTCGAGGGCTATCTGGTGCTGCACTTTGGTATGATCAGTTGCTGAATGCTTCAGTTGTTCATGCAGGTCTTCAATTTTCTTGTACACTTTTTTTCGCTGGAAGTCAAGCAATAACAACCAGTCTAATATTTGTTGAATTTTCTTCTCTCTTACATCAGTTTTGTGGGAATTCGCTTTTTGGGTGCTATTAATCTTATCTATTGCTTGATCTGCATCTAACTGCAATAATTCTGTTTTCCGCAGCGTCCACTCAGTGTCAATCAAACCGTTCAGTGTTTGCAAACTCCATCCTTTGAACTGTTTCTGAGAACAAATAGAATTAACTAGAGAATTCAAAAAAATTCTTTCTTTTTCAATTGTTGCTATTTTCGGATCCTCTATTTCATTTTTATCAAAAGTTTTAATCCTGATCTCATAATTGTATGTTCATCAACCTTTCCATTATTTGACAAACTTTCAGCTTTAGATTGGTCGGTGTATGTGACTGTGTTTACGTGTGAAGAACAATTGCCATTGTTTTTGTCAATTATGTATAATTTAAGTATTCTGGGCTGCTGTGAAACAACCTCAGAACATTGGGAGAGTTTAATGATTTCTTCTTGCTGAGGTGAGATTGGGGCTTTCTTCCAAGTAAACACGTATTTCTCCGGTAGTGTCTCACCGGTGAGAAACTTGGACGCACTTGCACGAATGTGCGATAGTGTCTGTGTCTCGTCAACACTTTCCAGGTATCCATATTTTTGTCCATCTTGGCCAATGAAAGTTACTCTTGCACACATGACTTTCTTTGATTTTCACGAGAACAGTTCAGTGTGAGTTAATGTTTTCGACCTTTTACAGTAAATACGTCGTTGTACCGTGTTTAAGTTTAAATTTTGGTTCTCATGCTGCATAAAATATATAGTTTGTTGGCGTAAGCAAATTATGCTTGCAAAAATATTCGATAAAAATCTATCTTTCCATGTAAACCTTTTTAAAACCCGACCTATATAGCGACAGGCTTGTCAGAAGCTTGAGAAGATGTGTATATTGATATTGATGACGACATTTGACATGAAAAATTGCATGAAATAGATTTCAGTAAAAAACACATGTCTAACATTTGGTCTGACATGTCAATTCCCAAAACAATCACGATGGGTGTGACGTTTATAAAAGGGCGGAATATTAGAAAAGTGTGTGTGTGTGGGGGGGGGGCAAGAAATTCGCGCAAAGGAAAGCAAACAAAAAAAATGTGCAAAGCCAAAGAAGGAAAACAAAGAAAAATATTTACCTTTAAAATTCCGCAACAAATTCCAACACAAGCAGACGGCCAAAAAATTTGTGCAAGCTGAAAATTCCCTTCCCCGTCCGCCCGTCCCCCCGATCACTAATCGAATGACCCAGTACTGTACTATACTTAATTAATATGTAAACACGTCATTTATAACTTATAAGTATACAGCACGTTTGTTCTTTATAATGTTTTGATATGGATGTAAAACTGATAGACGTAGAACATCCTGAAAAAGCTGTAGCAATTTTGTTTTATGTAGAACCTGATATATTATTGAGCGAAATGCGAAACATGATATCGAATCAGGTTGCTGATATTATTTCGTCGAATGATTATCAATTTCAACACCACGAAGTAGAATTATCCAGATCACAAGAAAGTTCAGTCATTCTTCGAAACATCAGATTAACAAGCAATGATAAATCATTCTTGATGGTACATGTGTCCTTTTGTAATCCAGGAACTGAATACGTTAATCATCGCAATCGCTCAAAAACTGACAAAACTGTGCCATTAAAGTCTGCAGCATCTGCTGAAACATCTCTAGTATCTAGTCTATCTACGTCGGAAACTGAAGTGACATCTACATCGAACGTGACTAGAATGCTGACATAGAAAAAGGAAAAGGAAGTGAGAAAGAATATCGTCGCTTTTGGAACGAGGAAGTTAGAAAAATGGCAAAGTACACTTCTATTGGCAAAAAGGAAATGCACAAGCAAGTTAACGAGCGCTGGAAACTTAAACGATGTTCTCTTCTTGAAGCAGAAACAAAGAATGTTCAAGAATTGGAGAAAAATATTGCAGAAAAAGCAGATGACTGGCAAGCCCCTAAGACTATGAAGAAGGCAACTATATCGAAGAATATTGAAAGAGTACGGGAAGCAACCGAAAACACCCAAAGTTTGAGAGAAACTGTTGGTTCTTTGTCGCAAACATTGAAGCGGAATCCAGACTTGGTTAATCGAGCAGAAGTTGAAAGAAATGTTAAAAGAGCGAAAACTTCACTGATTTCTTCGATGAGCGAACTTCGCAAAGCCCAAGATACGCTACGAAAAAATCTGGGTGCTAAAAAGTTGCAGTTATCTGAATATCCGAAATAAGATTTCGGTTAACGATCAAGTTTGTTTTACAAAACTGTTGAACCGACAAGCGTTTATACTTTATAATGTCTATTATTCTGTATGGATAAAATTTAAACATTTTCAGGCTTCTGAAGCTCCATGGCTCTAGGCTGAAATTCTAGCCCAGAAAGGATACTACAATTTGACTGTTTATATTTGGTAGTTTATATTGGTATATAGACATGAGTAGCCAGATTTTGCCATTAAAGTTATTTGCGTTCTTGTAAATTGATCATGAATAGTAGCAAAAGTATATATAGCACTGAAATGTACTCATCGAGCAGGGGCGTTGTGAAAACCCGGAATGCCGGAATATCATGGAATATGGCGGAATATCACGGAATATGGCGAAATGTCACGGAATATCATGGAATATGCTGGAATATCACGGCATATGGCGGAATGTCACGACATTTTCCCGGAATATACCTAAACATAGTCAACCAATCCATCATCTATATAGCATCAAAGGCAAAGAACTTACACTTATACCAGCAGAGAACGATCTGGGAATTTGGATTGCGAGCGATCTAACCTGGACTAAACACATTTTAGACCGGTGTACCCGTGCCAACAAACTCCTTGGATTTATAAAGCGATGTTCTGGGGAAATAAGCGACGCGAGGACCCGCCGGACTCTGTATCTGTCTTTGGTTCGGTCGGTTTTTGGTTACTCGAGCCAGGTTTAGTCGCCTCAAACCGTGACCCTCATCCAACGTATGGAACGGGTCCAAAGAAGAGCAACGAAGTACATTTTAAACCTTCCGTACTTGTGCAGTGAGACTTATCGGGAACGACTTGCCAGTCTGGGTCTCTTACCGCTATCTTACTGGCATGAATACTTGGATCTCGTGTTCTTTTTCAAAGCGGTGAACGGCTTGGTCGACGTGTCCCATGACGTCCTCCCCGAAGTTATGTCTCAAACCAGAACGACCAGATCCTCCAGTGGCAACCAAATCTCCTTCCGTCCGGCCAAATGCAAAACCTCTACCTACCAACGCTCCTTCTTTATTCGTGCATCCAGAACTTGGAACTCTTTACCAACTACACTAAGATCTCCTGACATTAATATTAGGCAATTCAAAACCGATTTACAAACTTACTACCTGACAGCCCTGAGAGAATGCTTCGACGAAGAAGATCCGAGGACATGGAAGACTATTTGTCTGAAGTGTAACACTAGTCGTTACTTACGTTCTAAACTAACTTGTTGTTTTAGTCTCCTGTCCATGTACTGTATGTTATATATTCTGTACTGTATGTGTATTTTTGTATAGGGCCCACAGTAATTGGTTTACACTGTTGTGGTGTCCCTGCCATTTTTGTCCATGTTTATTGTGTAGATGTCTATTTGCTGTTCTGTTAAGTGTTTTTGGCAAAGTTTAATAAATAAATAAATAAATAAATAAATAAATAAATAAAACATCACAATATTTTCCGATGGTAGCCATGCGACTGTTTATAAACATGGACGTCTGACAACATATTTTATTACAAAAGTGATGGATCTTTCCCAAGTAACAAGCAATAACTCTATACTGGAAGTTTTATGTACTGTTTAATAAACGAGCAGGAGTGTTTTATTAGGTTTAAAGGCACGAGCGCGAAGCGCGAGTGGCTTTAGACCTAATAAAACACGACCAGTTTATTAAATGGCTTCAAACACAACTACAAATTCAATAGATATACTGCCTTATTAGTATTCTTTATATTGAAAATACTAATGAGGAGACGACTACAATAGATACTGCCTTATTAGTATTCTTTATATAAAGAATACTAATTATGAGTGTTTTATCAGGTTTAAACCAACTGCACGTGACATATTGTGGTTGACATGATTTGCCAATAAGCTTATGAATTATTAATGAGTGTTTGAAATGTTGTTTATATCATTATTACGAGTGTTCACCAAAAATTTTGAATCAATATGATTAATTATTTTCGAACGCCTTCAGAACTGTGTTATACACAAAATTTAGTTAAAAATTCTTGCTTACCTGATATAAACAAGAATTTAAACATCTTGGTCCAAACTCGCTATATAAGTGCTTAGCGTTTATCCAAAAATCAAATGCTAAAATAAAGGCAAGTTTGAGCCAAGATGTTTAAATTCTTGTTTATATCAGGTAAGAAGTCTCGTCTTAACCTTAAGCAATAATTTTAAACTAAATTTTGTGTATAATACAGTCAGTGAAGGCGTTCGAAAATAATGCTGACGTCAGCATTTTCATTTTTCAAGACGCTGTAACTCAGAAAGAATTAATCATATTGATTCAAAATGTTTGGTGAACACTCGTAATAATGATATAAACAACATTTAAAACTTCCAGTACAGAGTTATTGTTTGTTACTTGGGAAAAATCCATAACTTTTGTAATAAAATATGTGGTTGTCAGACGTCAATATTTATAAACAGTCGCATGGCTACCATCGGAAAATATTGTGATGTTCCGGTATATTCCGAGAAAATGTCATGATATTCCGTGATATTCCGCCATATTCCGTGATATCCGCCATATTCCGTGATATTCCGTGATATTCCGGCATTTCGGGTTTTCACAACGCCCCATCGAGCAGCTAGTTTTCTGTCGATATTATAGGTTGTGTTGTGGGTTAGATAACGTGTTGTATACATGCAGTAGTTGTGTATACAGTATGTAAATAAACATTACTGTAAGCTAAATATAGCTATAATATCTATAATTAGCTTACAGTAATGTTTATTTCCCAGACCGGTTGACATATTTTTACAAATGGCCAATCACATGCAAGATTCAAATTCTGAACATAATCAAGTGGGGAAGTGGGATTTGCAACCGATGTGGTCTCTCGTTTCTTTAATTCGCCTCGCAAAGAGCCTCTGGAACCAGGGTGGCAACAGACTTTTGACTCACGCTGCGTGTGACTTCCACTTCCAGCGACTTGACGCCCCAGAGAGTGTCTTGTTGAAAGACAACCCAAAACTCACAAGAAACGAGAACATACCGTAATTCCCATGCATGGGGGCCAACAATTTTGCCCTCTCCCCTTTTCCTGATTCTCAAAAATAAGCTTGTTAATTAACAAATAGTCGGCGAACTGGTATGCTTTCGCAGACTAGTTCTGCATCTGAGTCCAAGTGCAAAAATGGACTGGACTGATTTTTACTATTTTTTTTCCATATAAACGTTTTGCATCTCAAAGTTTTGATTCTCGGAAATTACAATGCATATATATTACCTCAACCGATTATCTCAATTTATTACTGGAGTGAAATCTCTTTAGAGCTGCTTTCCAGTCACGGGTTTCTTACAAGTGAACAAATTTCGGAGAATATAACAACAAAGGGAATAATTTTACAGTAGAACGCAATCCACCGAGCAAATTCGTCTCATTTTTTTTGTAGTTTTTTTATGTTTGTATAAACTGACTTTTTTTATAAACTGACTTTTATACTTCTTTTATATGAGAATCGTATAAATATTTCGAAAAAAATAGAAGGGCTTTTTGTAGAGTGATGATTTTTTTCAATCAACCAAACACTTATTTTACAATAAAGTTTATTTTCCGAGTTGTTAGTTTATCACATTATCGGCCATGTTGAAACGTCCAGGGGTGGATCTAGGATTTTTCGCACGTTAGTCAAAAATCTATGACGTCATCGATGACGCAAAACGTGATGACGTCATTTGCCATGACGTCATTCAATGTCACAATGATAGTCCAACTTTTGTGGGAGTATAGATATTTTATCAAACTACAAATGCGCAAATGACATGCGATGTTCAGCATATATATGATAAAGTATTATATAGACTGTTTTGCCCTACAGTGTATACCTTGGTTCATCAGCATGCCTAGGAAACACATTTACCAAAAATAGTAAACCATGATCCAACAAGGACAGCTTCTTGAAAAAACTGAACACAAGCACATGTTTCTGGCACCTTAAAACTAGATTGCTTGCCTTCACACCTTTTCAAGAGCAAAAGGAGTTTGGTTAGAACTTAGAAATGGGTGACAATGAAAACCACCTAAAATGAACAATCTGGTTTTAAGGTGCCATAAACCCACCTCACACCTTTCACCATAGCAAAAGGAGCTTGGTTAAAAATGGGTGACAATATGTGAAATTGCCCAGTTTTTCCCTTTAGCCCCTTCCCCATTTCCCCTATTACTAATGTCTAATCTAATTAAATTCATCATCTTGTTATATACTGTCCACTATGAAAATGTATAACATCACAAGTGAAATTGTGCCTCAAAGCTGCAGCTTCATTGGAAGCCAACTTTTATTGAAAACAAGTTTATTTTACCTGGCATTTTAATTAAACATATTTTAATCACAGTAGATTCAAATACAAAAGATTCATTACAAATGACTATTACTTTACTTATCTAGTTATCTGAAATAATTGGCAAGGTTTTTAACACAGTATTCTATTATTCTTACACTATGCTTACATACTGTATATAGACACATACTATCAACATGGTGTTTGTCTATCAGGGCCTGAAATAACATTCCCAAAATTCCCGATCATGGTGATTGATCATGGTGATTGGCAGTCATGACTTTCCCTGCTTTTCAGGTTGAAAACCCTGCTTTTCCGCTGATCATAAGCAATTTCTTGCTGATTATTGATTGGTAATCAGTTGTTATTTCAAGCCCTGGTCTGTTGAAAAATTTAACTGGTTCAAGATGCAATGGACCCATCTCAAGCCAATGAGATCAGACCGATATTTGGCATCAGCTTTTGTGTACAAAGCCCGAATGTTTGGGGAGGGGGGAGATTATGGGAATTAAGGTGGTGATCTTGAAAGGCTAAGTTTGGTTGATGATGAAGGAAGTTTTTTCTCATGCCCCAGGAAGTTTTTTCTCATGTCAGTGTTGTGTACAAGAGTGAGGTTATTGTTATTGGAGGCGAGAGTGGTTTTTGCAAGCCGATATATTTAACTTTAACCTCATGTTCCAGAAAATTTATTAATAAAGTTTCCTACAGTATGTTAGGAATAATATCCTGGTGAATTTGTATCATGACCAAGCCAAGTCATTTAATTTAATTAGTCTTCAACCATAGTGCTTCTTCGCTTATACTGTATAAAAAGTGACCTACTGTATAGACCTTTCACACTTGCACTGTAAACATTTAAACTATCAAGGTCAAATTTATAGGTCATTGGTACCTGTCAATGCTTAGGAAACAGTGCTATACAGGCAATTGCCAGTTGCATTAGATCTAAAAATATAACCAAAGATTATATTATTATTATTATTATTATCTTCATAAAGTACATTTGTAGAGCTATTATCAGTCAATCAATACTCTATAAAGCATGTACACAATAAATATTTTTTATCCAACATGATCAAATATTTGAGATCAAGTTTCTGCCACTTGAGGTGTTTTAATTTTATACACATATATAAAATGAATATGTATGCAGTATATGAAACTTTGGACCTATAACCTCGCACAATTATGCAAATCGTACGTCCAATTCAACGATTTATTGTTCAAAATTCAAACCACTTTACCTTATTGCCATACACCTCTTAGTAATCTCTTGAAAATATATTAGACGACGAGAAATCAACACATCATAGTTTTGGTCAAGACAATTTTCTTGCATCCATCGAATTTATCAGCTTGAAATATTCTCCACAGAACACCAGAGAGCATCCCTTATCGTAACAAATAACGATATAACCCTTTCGAAATCTTTATTTCGAAAATAGTTCAACAAATATACTAAGATTAAGCGAAATAATTCGCTTGTAAAATTGTACAGAGCTGCAACAGAGCTACCAAGTGCACAATGCTTCCAAATTGAAGATTAGAAGGCCAATCAGAGGAGATGTTCTTTAATTCTTTTGTGCAAATTGTCCAATCAGAAGCTGCTATCTATTTGTAGGATTAGTCAAAATAGTCAAAATTGTGCAATCGTTAGTCAAAATAGGTGTGACCAATCAACATGCCTGTAATGTGTAATCTGAGCAAATTTGACCAATCAAATCACATGAACTAAAATGCAGAATAGTCAATTTTCATTTCAATACCGCTTATTTGACTTATCATTTGACTAATCAATTGCTGGCTCAATGTGCAAAAACTGATCGAAGTTTATATACTGGAGTGTGATGTAGTTTT